GTAATAATGGCAAGATTGCTTTTCTACAATGTAAAGACACAAACATTCAACATGTGTCTACGTATGTTTGAGAGCTGGCCCAGTAGTTAGGATTCTGGCTGTCTGAGGCTGAAACTTCAGACTAGTAGTCCAAACTCTGAGCTAACCCATGAGGAATGATGGAAAATTACAGTTTACACGCTATCCCCTGGAATCAGCCTGGTAGTATGTGTTGTTTTAGTTCCTAGCATGCTGTCTGCTAATGAGGTCAGACTAGCTGTCCAGGGATTCAGCCTGGCCTACTCTGGGTACTCAACATGTGGTCTCTCTGTCTGATTGACACTTTCTGCCAAATCCAAAATCATTGGACAGGGGTGGGTGTATCAAGTTCCTGTTTACTGACCATAGATCTGTAAATCAGAAGTATACTAAAAGGCCAACAATTGCAAGCAGAAGTAAGTATTTCCCAACAAATGTTGGAAATGCATATATTTTTGCTTTTTCTCCCACTTTATGGCAGCCCAATACCCTGCAATTTGTTACAAATAGCCAAATATGCCTCTATGAATTGTTCGGCCTGGGAATACTTGGACTGATAAAACTACCCAAAATAAGCTGATACAGTGGAAGCAGCTTATTTGAAAAGCCAATTTGTCAGCACATTTTTTTCAATTACCCGACCTTTCTGATTAAGAGACTTCATTGAAACTATGGGGGTGGGGGTGTACTTGTGATAGTAGCATTTAGGGGAGTGAATCTACCACTTATCACCATAATGATACATTTTGTGGGACAATTTCACAGTGTTGTATGAAATCTTTTTTAAAATTTAGATTTCTGCGCAGAAATCTGTGCAGAATTCTGCAGATTTCTGCAGAATTCTGCAGATTTCTCGCCGTGTGTCAATGGAATTTCCCTAATGGTTCATTCAACTGATAATGCTGGGTACTAGCCCGAGTGTCAGCCTTTGTAGCTTTCGTCCGCTCCCCACACTCTACAGGTAGCATAGTGGGGAGTAGACGAAAGATAAAAAGGCTGACACTCAGGCTAGCTGGTTACGGGATCTGGTCTTATGCTTGCCTGTATAGCTCAAAGAATTACGTCTGTTACGTTGTATGTCCTCATCTGTAATGTGTATAGCTCATCATCACTTTTTGAATTGTTTTACTTCATAAATTACTTTAAATATCACAATTTTTTCAAGAAATGAAAAGAAAAGAACAACATACAGTGCAAAGCTATCCCCATGGCAAATTGCAGGGCACTTGGCAAAAGCTGGGCATTTCCGACAAGTTATGCCCAAAATACATGTAACCTGATTGTAGCATTTGTAGGAGAGTATATCTACCACTTATCACCATAATGATACATTTTGTAGGACAAATCCTTAAAAAAAGCAGATTTCTGCGCAGAAATCTGCACAGATTTCTGCACCCAGCGCAGAATTCTGTACAGAAATCTGCGCGGGGTGCAGAATTCTGCGCAGAATTCTGCAGATTTCTGCAGAAATCTGCAGAAATAACCTGATCCCTAGGGAACTATCATTGTTATCTACATAGTTGTTGTCATCTTCAACATCACAATATGGAATGTCAATTGTCCAGGACAAACTATGCTTGAAAAGTGAGAGGTAGTCCGGAATTAGAGTGTCTGTCCGGAATTAAAGTGTCGCCTGTTTAACTTAAAGGTCAATGACCTGAACCAGACGTCTGTCACCATGATGGCAACTATAAGTGTTTGGTTACATCATGTTGCAATTTTATAGCAGGAGGGATTTAGACTCCTGTCTGACCATATGAATGGGATTGGGTTTGAGTAAGAATTAACAGAGCAGACCATATGTGAAGGTAAACCTTTCTAGTTTTTCTTCTTACATTTGCTTTTTCTCACCTCACTCTTCAGAGGAAGAATTGCCCCCTGACACAAGTGTTTGCATGAATGCTGCAGGAGGGACAGGATTCCAACCTACAGTCTGCATGCATGTGCAGCAGCGCAGAGTACGGTAGGTGAAGGAACAAAACTGGCTGCTTATGTTTCACCTCTGACAGACTCTGTATAAAGTAGGTTGGTTAATGAAGGACTGTCCAATATGTTTGAATATTTGTTCGAAATTTATTTTTGGGAATACACTAGTGCACTGACCTAAAAAATTGGTTGCTTAAAAATTTTGGGGGTACCATATAACAAAATGGGGGTACCATGATATAACAAATATTATATTATAAACAATTATAAAATATTAAAATTTAAATTTAAAATATTAATTATAATTTAAATTATAAAATATTATATTATAAACAATTTATTATATTATTTGGGGGTACCATATAACAAAATATTAAGTATAATGTCAGCAAAAACTAATTATGTTTCATTTCAATAAAGAAAAGACACAGTTGTGTAGTACAAGAATGATTTTTTTTAATTTTTCTGACACTTACACAGTGACTGTAGATGTAACATCTTCAGTTGACATACATAAACCAGAGGATGTTATCCATCAAACCAAATCAACATGGCCTTACAGAAAATAATTGTTTTTGGCGACGCCTCAGGGGGATCCTAATGGTACAGTATTGTGTGCAGTTTGCAAGAATTCTCGGAATTGTACAGTCATATTCTCCACAGGAATGTCTCAAATCTCTGGGATTTTGCTGACACACATCTATGCCCACATTCCTCAGGTAGTGAAATTCCAGGAAACCCTTGGGACATTGTGGAAATTGTACAGATTCTCAACTGAGCAGACACATGCTGATTCACATCCCTGTCCACTCACATTCAGCATTTATTTTTTATTAGTTGGTGAAACTGAAGTCCCCACTTGTGTATTGCAGGCTTGAGTGTTTTATGTCAGAAGAGAAGTACAGATGTCCCCAGACCTTACATCACTTTGTGTGGCTAGCTGATGCCGAACTGCTGACTGTTGGCTGGGACGTTACATCCTCCACATCAGTCCTGTATCACCTGGGAACACAGGAGGAACAGGCTACTCTCATGTCAGTAACATGTAAAACTAGTGCTGTGTACCAGTTCACTGGACTTGGATCCAGACTTGTAAGAATGTTTAGGTTCAAGTCCAAAAAAAATCTAAAAGTTAAGAACCCAGTCCGGACTTATTACCATAAAAGACCATGTCACATAGTATTACCCCAGGCCTTTTCTTTCCAAACTACCTAAAACCGTCCGTAGATTGCAAAATCTGTGCTGCAAAATTAAGATTCTGAAAACATTGCCATTGGGCATCGTCAAGTACCGGCATCTATGTTATGTGGCCAAAGTTTTGCCCAAGCAACATTAGGTCCAGACTTACAAGTCAGGAACTGAACCTGAACCTCTGGACTTGAATCCAGACCTGAACTATGTAAAACACAAACAGAGAAAATCACTTCATAGCTCTCTATCCTAAAGATGGACAACTTTCTGATTGAAGTAAAAGTCCTCACTACTTTCAAATTGACAATGTTTAACTACTCTGACAGACAGACTTTCAAGTGATGATTTGCCACCATTTTTTTTCTGCAGAAGAGGGATCATGTATCACATGTAATTCTCATTATTCCGATTTGGCCTCAAGGCCTTAGTAATTTCATTGACTAAAGGGCATTGCATGTAAGAAAATGAAGACAATGATTTGAGATTTTGTGGGCATTGATAGAAGGCTATAGCTAAACCCTGAAATGTGAGTAATGCTGCTTCATTCTGGATGGTTCCAAGTTTGGACAATGCAATCGGTAGAAGAAATTTGTTAAAGAAAAATGTGTACCAGATCAGACTATTTGGGATGAGGCTATGGGGCATATCAGGCCTGCAAGTTCTTAATGAAGTTCACTTTAAATTACATGCCATGTAAGAACACAATGATATACATGTATGTACCATACAAACTCTAGATCTTGATTTTTACAAATTTACCATGTACCACACTACTAAAAATCTATTTTCTTGTTTCTTCTTCCACACTGAAATTATTAAATATTAAATATTAAAGAGTCTTGAAGTTTACTTCAGGGAAGAAAACTTTCTGCATATAAAAAAGTTTTTTCTTATTAGTAAGATGTAGTTTAACTACTTCTAGAATGTTATTGGTGCCTAAGATTTATATTCTTGAATGTATCACTAAGTCTATACATGATTATGCAGTTGTCACTAACTAAATGTGTGACTTTGTTTTTGCAGACATAAGATGCCTGTAGGAGGCAGAGTGTACCAACTGTGCCGCAGCTGTGATGGGCAGACTGTAGCCATAGAACTGACTGATGGTACAGTACTCAGGTACCACATGGGTAGGTGGCCTTGGATACCACATGTACAATGTACATGTACAATGTATGCCACATAAACTTAGGCTATCATCAGGCTTTTAGGCCACACCAATTAAATATCTTTGTTAATGGATTCGCCCGCTTCATTTCTTTCTGATTTGCAAAAAAAAAATCAGAATTAACTGCAAAATGCTCATATTTTGCCCTGAACAGTCCTTTTCTTCCTACTATCTGTCAATGCTGTGGTATCATTAAAAGTTCAAAATTCATTGTTTAAATTTTGAACCAGTCTGGTGTGTTGCCTTCATGGCTCCTATCGTACCATTTTGGGCCATAATAGGATGCCTAGGCCTGTTTTTTTTTTTTCGCCCGCCCGCTCCATTATTTTTCTAGAAAAATCCGTTAACCAAGAATCTAAATTGGTTTGGCCTTAGCTGTGATGTTTTTGTTGGTTGAATCAATTTTTTTATTGTACTGTATGCTATGTGCAGCGAAGACGCACAGTGCGCAAGCTTTTTAAGGGGGCTCTTTTGATGAAAGTCACAATGCTCTCAAACACTATTTTCTGCATTTTGAGTTGCAAATTTTGAGGAATTTGAGTTGTTTTCCTTCTGCAGTAAACCATCAATTTTGTATGATAACAATGCTGAAGGGAGGCATGTGTGCATGCCAAGGGATAGAAGTGGAAAAAATAGGGCAACTTTATAGGGTGTCCTACCAAAAAGTGTATTATATAGGGCGTACAATTTCTTATCATTTTTCAGTACAGGGCGTCCAAAAGACACCCTGAACACACTCAAAAGACACCCTGAACACACTCAAAAGACACCCTGAACACACTCAAAAGACACCCTGAACACACTCAAAAGACACCCTGAACACACTCAAAAGACACCCTGAACACACTCAAAAGACACCCTGGATACCCCCTAGCTAAAAGCCTGACTATCATGGACATGAAACAACCTTCTACACTGTAAACTTTATTATAGTACAGTCTGTTATCATCTCTTTCCAACATAGAGCTGCAGCATCTCAATGACAGTTCTTTATGTTCCTTACCGCTACAAGGGCCCACATCACTTTCACATTTACAAAACTGTAAACTTTAAGTCTTTGATGTAGTTCAAAACTTTATTTACAGTACCTGCATGGTATATCTCGTAATTTATAGATCACCAACTTGTCTTCTTTGTACTGATTTTTCTTTTACCCACTTTGTAATCATGACATTGTATGTATTTTGTCATATTGTGTTTTACTCTCATTTTACGTTTTTGAGTAGAAGGTGTCATATACTATTAGGCATCTGTGCTTCTTGCTTAATACTCAATAAATATGATGTCACTGAATAAATAAATAACTTATAATAACACTGGTCACCTCAATTTTGGAATGTCACTTTCCGAATTTTGAGACAGCTATGTTGAAACCCCTGATTTTCAACTTTGTTATTCCTGGATGTACAGTGAACTTTTGCATGCCATTGGAAAGATCATGCTATCTTCAGTACCAGGTTGCTTTTTTATGGTCAGAATGTACAAATTTATCAAGATATTTGACTTTAAAAATTGCAAGCCTGGCGGTCTAGAACACACACCGTCATGCCCAGCAGCTTAGCCTGGCAGTCCTAAACTTTAGCCCGCGGCCTGAGTTAGCCAGCCCGCATCCAGACCGCATCCAATTAGCCTCATGAACACCCCATGAAAACCACTGAATTAATGAGAATTCACATTTTCACACCTGTGTAATTAACAAGTTTGTGATAAATTCATGAGAGGTCTGGGCTCAATGGTTAGCCCGCGGGCCTGAACAGGCCTGTCGGTCTGTGGACAGGCTGGGCTGATGATTAGGCCTTATGATAGAGAACCTTCAGACTTTAAACACCAAACAGAAAGTGGGAAACAAAAATATGCTTCCAAATTGATGCTTCCAGATTGATGATGGTTTACACTTCACTTCATATCACTTCATATTAATAAACACCCTTCACATTTTCAGCTAATATTTTCAATAAGTGATTACATATAATTATTATTATTGACAAGTATGATGTACAGGTATGAATGATGATAACTTTCATGAATATTCATTTTGAACATTTTCTGCAAAAGCTTCAGAAATTTCTACTGGAAGAATTTTTCCTGTACATGGGAAGAATTGTTCTGCTATTAAGACTGCAAAAAGTCTCTTTCTAGTAGAAAGCTTTTTTGAACATGTTTGAGGAGGTGGATTTTTGCTCCTGCTGTGCTACCTGGGCTGATACCTGGGCGGGGTGTAACATTTGTGTAACGGTTATGACTAAAAAAGATCAGATAGCATCATAAAAGACCCTTGTCTCAGCAAGAACACTTCATATTTAATAGACCTGATTGGTTGTGGTGTTGGAAGCTAACTTTTGAGGACACTTCATGGTCACTTACAGTTTCTGTTTGGCAGGTATAGTCCAATCTGTCCTACTATGGATGGGCAACTCCCCTGGCCAAATCCCTTTGAAACATCATGGGGGTAGAAATTTATCTTTTTTTTTAAAGAATGAAGACTTGGCTAAGTACAGGTCACAACAAAACAAGATGAATGGACATGGTTAACAGATAAACAATAACTCCATGGAAACATTTAAATCAAAAGGAAAACATTTGGAGTTTTAGTGCCATAATCCTGCCATGTATAAGCCTCAGCCGATGTACACTGAAAACATAAAAAGCAAGGAATCCGATCCTCAATTTGCAACATGAACTTGCTTTCAGTGCAAGGAGTTGTACAATGCTTTAGGAAATTCATGTTACATTTTCTTTTGTAATTATTCTGTTCCTGCACCTTTGTCATGCGGGTCATACCTCAGGTCACCTATTGTTCCAGGCATGCAAATGACCACTGTCCAATTATCAAATTAGAGAGTCTGGTCGGGCTACCCTGACATGGGTGCACTGGCACTGGCTCAATAGCCCGAAAAAATATCCTATCAGAAAATCTCATGACATTGTAATGACAGTGTCAGATGGCCTGGGTTCACACGCTGAGAACCATGTCTTGGCCAAGTCTTTCTATCCCACAACTAGTTTGTAGTGTCATGATTAGATTAGATTTGGATTATGAACAAAACATTAATGATGAGAATCTTTACAGGATTTGTAATAAGTCTAAATTACAATTTAATTGGAAGTGCTTGCCCAAGGCCTAGAGTCAATTCTATATTGCTATATTCCACATTACAAATTGTAACCATTTCGAAAAAAACCAACAATGTTTCTAGATAAATTTCAAAGTATGATTTAAAAAAAAGTAAGAAAATTTTCTAATTGTTACAATATTTGTGAAACATCTCAAATAGGTTATATATATAATGAAAAGAGCTGTTCATTCAGTTTGGATATTTCCCAAAAATTTAGGAACAGAGCGTAAAATGCTTGTACAGCGCAGGATGTACATGTATGATAGCAGACCAGGTAGCCTGGGTGTAAGAAACAGGGGCGAGCTGTAGCGCCTATAACCCCCCCACTGTTACATGGGTACCAGACTGCTGCCAGGCTAGCTCCTTGGCTCCTGGAGGGCCAACATTTGCCCAAGGAAATGTCACCATAGAGTGATAATAGACATCCCTCAATAAGCCTATGAATTACATTGTAAAGGCTTGTTATCCCCTAGACACAAAGAACACAGTTTCTTTAAAAATGGGTGACAAAAGGGGAGGGGAGGTGATTATGATAAAATTAACAAGTTCTAACTTCCAAGCAACAACTTGAAGTTAGTCGCCAGTCAGAATCTGATCAATGTTAGACGTGTTTACAACTGGAGAAAGGGGATGCTTTTGCTTCCGAAGCAAAAGCATTCATTGAGTTATCAGACTGCATGAATTGTCATGACATACAAAAATCAGATGATCATTGATCAATTACTAAGGTGACCTTGAGAGAATATTGATGTAATGTTGTAATTTTATAGAACAGGATTCTTCTTCAAGTGAATGAGTCTGAGAAACAAGTAATGACATTATATTTAGTCTCTATGGCCGGCCAACTCCTCTGGCCAATGATGTTCCCCTTAGCCATGGAGCTACCTCCATGCCTTAGCCGATTGCTACTATTTATTTAGCCTGCAAAGGAGTCTGGTGGAGACTACATTACATGTATATTGGTGTGGCCTAACAGTTGTATATATTTATTATACAGTCATTCCTGCCAAAATTCCTAGGAAGGATTCTATCTGCAGGAATCTACAATGTCTTAGTAGGTTTTTCCTGCAGAAATTTCCTGCAGGAAGAAAATTTTCAAAATGAATTTCCATGCATGTTATCATTCATACCTGTCCAATTATCAAATTAGAGAGTCTGGTCGGGCTACTAGTACCCAGACATGGGTGACATGGTCTTTGCAGCTTGCACTGGGTAGCTCAATAGCCCGAAAAAATATCCAATCAGAAAACCTTATGACATTGTATATAATGACAGTGTCAGATGGCCTGGGTTCACACGTTGAGAACCATGTCTTGGCCAAATCTTTCTATCCCTCGACTAGTTTGTAGTATTATGATTAGATTAGATTAGATTTAGATTATGACAGAATAATGATGAGAATCCTAGTTTATTTTTAAGTATAGTCGGTCATCTTTTCAGGCTCCTACTGGGTGACCCAGTAGTCAAGCTGCCCAGATAGGGGTACTGTAATTCGACGTGTAACTCAACAATAGTCCAACTTGATAATTGGACAGTGGCATTTGCATGTCAAGAACAATAGCTAAACTTAGTTTCATCCCGCATAACAATTGTTCCTTGATCAGAATAATTACCTGAGAACTGTTGAACCATGGTAGAACAGAAATGGACTGAGGATTTTATAACTCCATTGCTTGAAAGCAGGTTTAAGTTGCAATGCATGTATTAGGCTTCTTGCTCATATTATATAGTACTAGAATTTTGTCTGGCAAAACTGTCTGTAACATAATTTTCCCAATGTTTCAACTTAACTGAACTGAACTTAACTTCAATGACATTCAGGATGCTCATGAGAAAAAATTGTTTCATTTTCTACCCCTAGCTAGTACAGAACGTGTTTGTAAGCTCTTCTTTCTTTTTCGTGGTCTACATGTAGTGGAAAGAGCATGCGAAGCTGAGTGATTGAGTGAGTGAATGAGGTTGAAAGCGGCAAAAATGTACAACACTGTTAACAGATGGGTGTGGATAATTTATTTTCTGCTCTGAGAATGAAGTTTTACACATCACTTGGATCAGACCGCGGGCTGAGATGTAGTCCGTGAGGTCTGAATCCTTACCCCACCAGGCTGAAATTGGCACAGACAGTCTGCAAACATCAATCAATTCACGCCTTCCATGCCATTGTTTTGGGCTTTTTGCACCTCTTTGACCAGAAATTCCAGACCGCGGGCTGAAGTTAGGCTGACGGTCTGAATGGTTTTTGAGTAAATCAGCCCGCGGGCTGGGATTCTACACCTGTAGTCTAGTGCCTTTAGACCGAAGGTCCTGTAATTAAAACTTGCGGGCTAGTTGTTAGGCCTGACGGGCTGTTAGGAAAGACCACCGGTCTGCTTGTATTTATTATTAATGATATCTTAAGTTATGAACACTGCAGAACAATAATTTTCATATCACTGTGCTCATTACACCAAGAGCTACACACTGATGTGAAACTTGAATGTTGAAAATCAATTTTTACTTGAGTTTCCAAATGCCTTGTGACTTTCCAAAATTGATGCGACCAGTGTTTAATAGACAACATTCAAAATTTTGATAGGGAAAAACCTCACTATATATATATTTGACACTACCATTTACAATGAAAAAAATTTTGTCAATTATATTTGTCAAAAGATACATGACATCATATTGTAAAACAAAGGAGTAGCTGCTTGCATTGCCAGTCAGGGAAAGAGAGGACAGAAAAAACTGATCTCACATTCAACTAAATTTCAGTCACTGTGTTTTTTTTAAGTCTTTGTGTGAATTCCTTGATGCCCAATTTCTTCCAATACCATTTCTTACATTGAACATTTCTAAATTCATTTGACAAAATTGTCAAAATAGACATGGTCTTTTTAAAAAGGGTGTGAGCATCCCAAAGTGAAGCAGTATCAGTTAGTATTTCTTGTGTTTACAGTAATTCTTTATTTGTACACTCTTAGTTAGTTGGACCCAGTGTACATGTGTGTCCTCTTGTGTATACAGACAGAATAGCAGGCTGTCCAGTGTTGGAGCCCTGGAGAAGTCAGACTGGCCAGCCCGTCAGGTTCCCAGTACTGTGTTCTCAGTTGGGACTGTGCACCATGGCTGGACAGGTATGTGTAAACTTTAAGAGAATATCATGATCAGATTTTGGCTAAGGCCACACTAATTTAATTTGTTGATTTTTATTGTTAATGTTGATTGTTAATTTTTTCAGATTATCCAGAAATTATCCACAATATTTTTTACTTTGTCACTCTAATCCTGTGTCCTGTAACTTAAAGACAGTTACCTTTGACACATTAGGAGGTGACATGTATGTTTTTGGTTGTGTAATGGTTGAGTGGCTGTGGTGTGGGTCTGTATGTACATGTACATGTACATGTATGTCAGCAGTGTAACTCAGAGGGTGAGGGTTCAAATCCTGCCCAATGCCACCGATCTTGTGTCCTTGAGAAAGGCACTTTACACAACTTTCCTCACTTCACTCAGGTGAAAATGAGTACCTAGCTTCAGTTACTAATAGGGACATCGCTCGGATAGGACGTTAAATTTAGGGCCCGTGGTTGGTTAGAGTCACACCCCACGCACGTTAAAAGAACCCACTGCACTTATCAAAAAGAGTAGGGGACCTTCCCGGTGTGAGTGGTTCAAACCTTACAGTCTGGTCTCAGGTTTGACATCTTTGAAGAGGTGATAGTCACCTGTTATGTCATTCCTTCCACAAATGTAGTAACTCGTCATAAAATGAAAAAAAAATAAAATCTTGAAGCTGTTGATGGATCTTGATGATAATTGGTAGGTGAATAGTGTTTGCGAAAAGGAGTTTGAAAATAGTTCACCTGAGTTTTCTGTTCCTCACCAGGAGACTGTTCTTGGCCTGACAGACAGGTTCAGATTTTTTGTAAATGGTGATGAGGTAAGTCTGGTGGCATTTTCACATGCTTTTTTATATCTTCATTGTTTGAAGCCATATATTGGAAATGCAAATTAAAATAGTAATTTTTTACACTAAGTATTTACGCTGTTGACAGCACTCAAAGCTGTTTTACCAGGAATACATGTACATGACATTTTATAATTACTTTTTTTAACTCAAAAAAAGTTTAACATAAAATGATCTTGATCCCTTAAACCTCGCTCTGTGCCAAGACAAAATTCATTTCCACCTTAAGTTTACAAAGTTCAATCTCTGTACCACATCCACATCTGTTTCTTCACATTTGTAGAATTTCAAATGTTCTTTTTGTACCAGACTGAGTATTATGACTTGATAAGCTCTTATGAAGACTCTAATTTGATAGATTATGCCATCGTATAGAATCGGTTAAACATACTGCTTACATAATTGCCAGTCTCATGTCTGGATTCATGTACAATTTTGTTGTACATAATACAGTACTGACTCATCTTCTGAATTGTAGAATGTTATAATGCTCTCCTTATTGTAGAATTGAAATTTAGTATATTTAGTTAGTATGGATTAGCTCTGGTAGAATTGCATTTTTATGTACATGTACACTACACTTGTTGCTTATTCTCTGCCATTGTACCAGTTACAGTCGTTGAGCAATAAAGTTGTTTTTATTAATTACACACTTCTCACCACACACCTGTGTCACCACCTGGGCCTCAGCAAAGAACTCTAGGATGTAGTCTGCCCATTTCTTTTGCTTTCTTATTCTTTTCCACAACTTACACTATCCAGTAACTGCAGCTACGCCAACATGGCTATGTCCTCCAATTTTGAGTTTTCTTCTTTGAAAAATGTTTGGTATGTTTTAAAATGTTTTACATCATTCTGGTTGTAGATTTCCAGCAATTGTACATCATTTGCTGTCCATGATGACCACCTCCTGCTGACGACCCATGCCCACACATGTACATGTCTGCCACTTCACATGGGGAGTAAAGGTGGGTAATGTTACAGAATCCTATCATGAAAGTTCATCTGTGTTGGTAGTTAATGTTTAAAGTTAAAACTTTTGGTCCAACACAAAAAATTCTCTCACCTAAAGATTCCAACCAGACACTCTTGTCTTCCTCAGTAGACTGACCCAGTGAAGCTTGTCACGTGGCTTCTTTGAAGTGTGACATCAACACTGGGTCAAAGGTATATTAAGGGTTTTGGACACTGAACAAGACTATTTCTTGAGAGGGGTGAAGGAAGCCATATACATCAGGGCATTGGACCGTGACGGGGGCCGACATCGTCTAAAAGATACCTTTGACCCAGTGTTGACATCACACTTCAAAGAAGCCACGTGACAAGCTTCACTGGGTCAGTCTACTGAGGAAGACCAGAGTGACTGGTAGAAAGCTCTAGGTGAGAGAATTTTTTTGTGTTGGACCAAAAGTTTTAACTTTAAACATGTTACAGAATCCTGTGTCTGACAAGTGTCTCATAAGGCCACATTGGTTCTTAATTCACCCGCTTCATTTTTATTTTATTTGAAAAAAAAAAAGAATTCAGGTTCTGAATCAATTCCAAAATGCATATTTGGTCCAAGAGGTTGAAGAAAGCTCCTTGCCTTCCAAGTTGTAACAGTTTTTTTTCAGCTATCAATACATTAGTTTGATGAAAAGGTTAAAACCATTGTTTGAATTACAAACCAGCCTTGTATGTGACGTCACAGCACCTATCATAGCTTTTGGGGCTATCAGAGGTATATAATATAACTGTACAACATTTATATCATACCTGGGCCGCGATAGCGTTCGATAACGGGTTCCGGACCGGGCAGTAGTTTACGGTATGGCCTGGGCTTTCATAGAACAATTCGAACGCGTTTTGCCCTAACTGCGTTTGCCGCTTTCAAAAATCTGAATACAGAATCCGAACATTGGAATTGATGTTGTTGCATTTTAGGGTTTAGGGGCACCAACTTTTGGCTCATCTTGCATTGAAAGGCACATTTCCTTGGGTGGGTATGACTTAAATAAAATACAACACGGGGTATTCCGCATTGCCCTCGGTCCCAGCCCTCCCGCGAGTCGGATCGACCTGTGGTCGGGGCGATATGGAATACCCCGTGTTGTATTCTATATATTATTTTCCTCCTATACTCGTATGGAGTGCAATATAACTAACTGTATTCTTAAAGTGTACAATAGTCTTAGTACATAAAGCTTTTCTTCCTTTCCTTTCAGATCTCTCCTCAGCCACAGATGAGAAGGTACGCAGGGTTGAGAGAGGAAGTCGACTTGTCACTGTTGTTCCTCAGGATACTAAAGTCATTCTACAGGTCAGACTTGTCACTGTTGTTCCTCAGGATACTAAAGTCATTCTACAGGTCAGACTTGTCACTGTTGTTCCTCAGGACACTAAAGTCATTCTACAGGTCAGACTTGTCACTGTTGTTCCTCAGGATACTAAAGTCATTCTACAGGTCAGACTTGTCACTGTTGTTCCTCAGGATACTAAAGTCATTCTACAGGTCAGAACCTCGGTTTTCTGCCCTCAAACTGTTCAATGACATTTTCACTGAGATGTCAGTGTTATACACGTCACTCATTTAGCACTGCCGTGTCTATGTGTATAATTTGTGACACTGTGTTTATGTACATGTGGAATACATGTGTGTGTGTGGGGTGGGGGGATGTGACTGTGTGTTTGTGTGTATGAGGTGTGTGTGTGTGTGTGTGTATGTATGAGGTGTTTGTGTGTGTGTGTGTTTGTGTGTGTGTGTGTGTGTATGTGTGTGTGTGTGTATGAGGTGTATGTATGTGTGTGTTTGTGTGAGGTGTGTGTATGTGTGTGTTTGTGTGAGGTGTGTGTATGTGTGTGTTTGTGTGAGGTGTGTGTATGTGCGTGTTTGTGGGAGGTGTGTGTATGTGTGTGTTTGTGTGAGGTGTGTGTATGTGTGTGTTTGTGTGAGGTGTGTGTATGTGTGTTCGTGTGTGAGGTGTGTGTATGTGTATGTGTGACTGTGTGTATGTGTGTGTTTGTGTGAGGTGTGTGTGTATGTGTGTGTGTGTGTGTGTGTGTACATGTAGCCAAGCCAAGAAACATGTATGTGTGTGTTTGTGTGTGTGTGTTTTGTGTTTGTACATTTGTATGTGCATGCATGTGAAAATGAATAATACAAGTGCACATGATTATATATTAGTACATTAAAGGGTGATAAGGAGTTAAGTTTTCATACTGGTATATCCATTTTGCCATATTAAGACAAACTATCATTTCTGAAAATGTTACATTTCTGTTGTCATCTACAGATGCCCCGGGGAAACCTTGAAACTGTGCATCCCAGAACACTGGTGCTGGGGCAGGTTCAGAAGCTGATTGGCAGGTGAACAGATATATGGTTACTGGTCTCCTTGTCATGAGTAGTGTCGGCACCTGGTATGTATGTATGTAACACAACACCACATCATGTCTACTACAGCACCAGTTACCATGATAACAGGCGTCTGGTCCAGGTCATTGACCTTTTTCAGAAGAAGATTAAGAGGCAAAAGGAATAAAATATATGACTCTGTAATAGTTTCTAAAAATTGAATTTCACAATTTCGCCAAATTTAATGTATAAAACAGGTACTGACCTACATATAGAGGTGATCATGACATTCTCTATGACATTGTACTGTACATAGCACAATGTAGTTACTGTTGTCAGAGTTCAACTCAGTTAAAGTGACATATAAACTACAAGTACAGTCATGTATTTTAGCTACATGTGTAGACAACTTCTAGGCCATATTGCTCTTAACTTGATGGAAATAAGACATATTATTATTAACATTCTTTGCGGCAAATGTAGGGTTACAATTAGGATTTGACTTTTAGAGTATTCTTATTATAATATTATATAATATAGTAATAATTATTGTTCCTGACACAATTTGTTGTTTTGTTGCAGTCATGAATTCCTGGAAGCATTCCTCATCATGAGGAAACACAGAGTCAACCTCAACTTGCTCTGCGACCTCAACCCACAGGTTCTGATATTAAAAATATTTGTACAGCATACTATTAAAGCTATTGAATTTCAAGTAGACAAAATGTACAATTAGTGCTGCATACCTAAACCCAATTTTAGGTTCAGGTTCGGATTCAAGTCCAGAGGTTTAGGTTCAGTTCCGGACTTGTAAGTCTGGACCTAAACCCATGGCATATACAATATTGCATGTTGGCAACCTTGCAATGTTGTCTGGGTGAAACTTTGGCCACATGATAAGATGGAGGCCGATACTTGACGATGCCCGATGGCAATGTTTTCTTCATTTTGCAGCAAAAATTTTGCAATCTACGGAAGGTTTTAGGTGGTTTGGAAAGAAAAGGGGTATGTGAAATGGTTTTTTTATGGTAATAAGTCCGGACTCGGTTCTTGACTTTTAGGTTTTTTTTTACTTGAACCTAAATATTCTTACAAATCTGGATCCAAGTCCAGTGAACCGGTATGCATCACTATGTACAATCAGTCTTCAGACTAAACCAGTTTAATTTCTATCATGAACGTTCATCTGTGTTGTTAGTGACATGTTTAAAGTTAAAACTTGTTCCAACACAGAAGGTAAATATTCTCACCTAGAGCTTTTGACCAGTCACTCTGGTCTCTCTGTCAGTGAGACTAAATATGTCTTGTGGCTTCTCTGAAGTGTGACGTCAACACTGGGTCAAAGGTATCTGGTAAACAATGTCGGCCTTGATGTAAATGGCTGTAAACCGTAACAGAGGCCGGCATTGTTTACCAGATACCTTTGACCTTTGGGGTGATACCTCTGCAGGCACAATGTGAGCACTTACTGTACAATCTAGGGGAAGCAAGGGCATGCTCCCCCATAAAATTTGGGATTTTCAAGCTTTCAAAAATGCAATCTCGCAACCAATTTTCAAAAACGGCATCTCGCATTTTCAGAGAATCTGATACATTCATCGTATAATTCATATATAAGGTTCAATATAGTGCCGCTTTTCAGGTGTTAATCTAATACACATTCAAAAATTTGGTTGATTTTGACCATCAAGCCGTGAAGGTTGACGGTTTGGTTTTAAAAAATTTCCGTCACACGATGCAAAGTTCAGGCAATTGCAGTTGATGGAAGATCGGTCACTGGCTAGAGCCTTGGTCCCAGCTCAGTTTGGAACTTGGAATGGCGTCTGTGTGGTGTAGTACTAGTGGATAGAACATCCATCTGTCAAGCAAGGGGACCCAGGTTCAATCCCCAGGTCTGGACCCAGACATGTCTGGACATGAACCCAGAGGTTGTGCCCTTGGGAAAGGCACTTAACACATATTTTCCCCCCTTAGTTAGTGGGACCCTGGGCCCTACTAGGGTTTGGGTTGGCGTTAGGAACGGCATCCAGCCGTAAAAATCTTGCTTCAACAAAAAGACATGTACTTCATGCAAGCACGTCTAACCCCCGGCTCGGGGGGAAATTGACGTTAAAATGGTAAAAAAAAAGTGGGGCTTTGCCCCCACCTTGTTTCAAAATTTAGTGTGTTTCCCCAGTGCACAACATTATTGTCTGTTACGATTGCTAGAGTTTTATTCAGCAACCCTGACTCATTTTCTTATTTGTGACATCTTACCTGTCTTGTGCAGATGTTTCTGACCTGTGTACCAGAGCTGGTGACCCAGCTGAAGGATGTCAACTATCTCAACCTCTTCCTGACAGAACTCAGGTGGCTCTTTCATACCATGCTTTGTATTATAAATGTAATGGATCATTCTGCATGGTACAATTAGCATATAAAGCAATTTTATCTCTGTGAACTACTCAGTCACTCATGCATCCATGCACTCACAAACCCATCCACTCACCCACTCAGTAACTTGCCCACTCACCTACCCACACTCTCTGGTCATTCAACCCCCCACTCATTCACCCACCCATTTACTCACTAACCAACTCTTTCTCTCACTCACTAGCCTACCCTTTTACTCACCCACTAACTCACCCACCCATTCACCCACTTAAACATTTACATACTAACTCACCATACTAACTGGAGTAACTGTTGCGGTCATAGATGTGTGACCTTATTCTGTATCTGTATAGCCGTAACACACCAGCTCACGTTTTTATTCACACGAGACTTTACATGATGTCAGCAATAATTGATCAAACATGCCAGGGAGTTTAAATTATATCATCCACTGTCTCTATTAAGTGATGTCTGGAGTGCCCTGATATACATGTAATAATGTAGTCCTAGTCCTGCTCAGTATGCAGTATTGTAACGTTGTCCCAAGAAACAGTATGGCCCATGCAATGATTTTATGTGGATATGTTGAGAAACTTTTGACGACAGCGATCTGTGGTGTTTGTGTTATGTACTAATGGATACTTGGATATTTTATTCAGTCCATCAGCTGTCGTACACAAATACACAAATACGCAGCTAATCTTCCTGGACCGTAAAAACATAGAACAAGGACATAAACTACATAAAGGCTAACATCTAGTATTTACATCATGGTTAATCAATTACACTCGTTGATATACATCACGAGCTCCTGCCGAAACTTACACTTACTAGCGCATTTAACATCTGTGTCGGACTCCATAATATCACCAGGGTCCATAATATCGCCACCTTGAGAAACAGTGTGCTTAAAGATATTTTTACTGCAACATACTTTTGGTATGCACTCCTGCACACCTCAAATGTACGTACCTAGGGTATGTTGCAGTAAAAATATCTTTAAGCACACTGTTTCTCAAGGTGGCGATATTATGGACCCTGGTGATATTATGGACACAGATGTTAACGCCATCAGGCAAAGTGTTCCATGTAAAGACAGACCAGTACATAAAAGTCTTTTTCATGGCGTTAGTTTTGGGTTTTGCCAGTCTGAATGTGTTTCTGCTTGTGTGGCGTGTCTTATAACTGTGTTGGTTTGTTACTGGAAGCAACTGCATGAATTGTACAATGTAGTTTGATTTTCTTGTTTATTGATCTCTCCCTGTAGGGAAGAAGACGTGACAGAAACCATGTACTCAGAATACCTGAGTTCTGCTGGTGAGAACAGCTGGGACCTCCACTCACACTCCAAAATGGATCAAGTCTGTGATGCTGTGAAGAAAACTTTGGAGGATCTGGACTGTGAAAAGTGCATAATATGTTCTACTTGTTTACATTGTACATTTATATCATACCCGGGCCGCAATAACGTTCAATAACGGGTTCCGGACTGGGCCGTACTTTACGGTACGGCCCGGGCTTCCCTGGGTTCCATAGAATGATTCAAACGCATTTTGCCCTAACCGTGTGCGCCGCTTTCAAAAATTTGAATATAGAATTCGAACGTTGGAATTGATGTTGTTGCATTTTTTGGTTTAGGGACACCAAACTTGGGCTCATTTTGCATTGAAAGGCGAGTTTTCTTGGGTGGGTATGACATAAATAAAATACAACACGGTGTATTCCGCATCACCCTCGGTCCCAGTCCTCCCGCGAGTCGGGCCAATACCTCGGGTAATACAGAATACCCCGTGTTGCCACACTGGCTTGATTGTATGGATGATTGACATTCTCAAATCACTCCCCAAAAATGGTCCTAAATTTTGACGTATAAGTGGTGGAAAAGGTTGCATTAAATATACAGAACACACAATATAACAAAATAAAAAGTTGTTTAAAGTTAAAACTTTTGTTCCAACACAAAAGGTAAGTGTGCAAACTCAATGACAAGTTGCCAAATGAGTTTAGTTTCTGGGATTCAGAAAATAGTATCAGGCTTCTACAGAACCAGAACAATTGCTTCTGTTGTTGAGTTCCCCTTTAAAGGGCAATAAACAACCTTTCAATGATATGAAACACCTTTGGTGTAAGTTTAGAGTTAAAACTTTTGATCCAACACAAGCTCTCTCACCTAGAGCTTTCTACCAGTCACTCTGGTCTTCCTCTGTAGAATGATCCAGTAGTGAGACTTGTCACATGGTTTCTTTGAGGTGTGACGTCAACACTGGGTCAAAGGTATCTGGTAGACAATGTCGGCCCCCGTCACGATTCAATGAAGGGTGATGGGCCCTGATGTATATAGCCTCCTTCACCCCTCTCAGGAAATAGTCTTGTTCGGTGTCCAATATTCTGAGTGTCCAGTTAGTGTAAAACTACATTATGTACTGACCACATCTGTTAATACAGGTACCTTCTTGGGATTCTAACATGTCACATCAAAAAAGCACAGCCTGAACTGGAGGTCTGCTTACAGAGAATCCAGGAGATCTGGGGTCAGTTCATCTTTAACACTGTCCTGACTTTGCACTTTTACAGTACAGTAGCTGTAATTTGTGACGTGTGATACAGTGTGTTGCACAAATTTGCATCATGATCATGATCATGAAGGAACTGATAAAGCTGTCTGCATCATTTAAAAGAGAGATAAATGAATTGTTAAATGTTTTGTGTACTGAGGATGAAGGCTGTTTGATGTTAGCATGAAAGTTCATGAGAGTTGGTAAATTACATTATGAAAAATTTAAACTGTTACTGTTCTACAACTCATAAATTTCACTCACCGAAATTTTCGACTGAATCACTCAGTCTTCCTCAGCTATCTGACCCAAATGCTGTGGACACGTGATTTTTCCCACGTGTGACGTCAGCAAAGGGTCAAAGGTTGTCTGAAGTTGATAGGATTACTTCAAGAGAGGCATAAAAGAGGCCATATACATCAGGGCACTACCGGGACGGGGGCGATATCGACTTCAGACAACCTTTGACCCTTTGCTGACATCACACGTGGGAAAAATCACGTGTCCACAGCATTTGGGTCAGATAGCTGAGGAAGACTGAGTGATTCAGTCAAAAATTCCGGTGAGTGAAATTTATGAGTTGGAGAACAGTTTAAATTTTCATGCTGTTTGATGTTACTGATGATGATTTGAGGATGATTATTGCTCATAATCATTTCCCTCCACTTACAATCCCCGTTTTCAGACAACCCTCCCCAGAGTGATGAAGGAGTGAGTGCAGAGGAGGCTTTAAACTACGTGTTACTGCTGGTGGATGTGAATGAGCTGTTCAACGTGGCACTCGGCACTTATGACCTGCGACTGGTGCTCATGGTGGCAGAGAAGTCACAAAAGGTTAGCTTAGGCCAAACCAATTTGATTTGTAAATTGTTGGCTCTCAGATTTATTCAGAAAAATACATAGCGATGGGGCGAAAATGTTTTCAAACTAGAAAGGTAACATTTGCAAAGCAAATGCATAATGTTTACCTTCGCATATGGTCTGCTCTGTGAATTTTGACTCAAATATATACGGACAGGAGTTTAAATCCCTCCTACTATAAAATTGCAACATGATGTAACCCAACACCAGTTCATGGTGAGAGACGTCAACAAATCAGGTCATTGGCCAGGTCAGAGGTCAGTGTTTGGAACAGAAGAAGAGGAAACGTAGCAAAAACAATATGTTTCTCTTCGGTAAACATAATCAGAAAAAATGAAGCGGGCAAATACAAGAACCAACAAATTAAATTGGTGTGGCCTTATTGTCAGACAGGTGAATCTTGTTCATTTATTTTTGTTGTTTGAGGACTGATTTTATGAAATGTTTTGTCAAATGTATTTGTCAGTGAAAGAATGGGCAGATGTTATGAACATTTTCTTCATGATTTTCTTATTTTTACAATTTCTATTAAATTTTTCAGAATGAATTAGATCAGAAATGAATATTTTAACTTTAGAATAACCTCTGCAGGATCCAAAGGAATATTTGCCATTCCTGAAGAAACTTCAGAATATGGAGGAGAATTTGCAAAGGTACACAATAGACCTGCACCTGAAGAGATACCACAAGGCCGCCCAACACCTGAGTAAATGTGGTGAGTATCCTCCTCCTTCTGCCATTTCATTTTGAATTCAACTTCTTTATTTTTGGCCAAATGACATGGCGTGGAGGTACATTTTGTAGTAGTATGAGATTTCCAAATTTTAAAAAAAAATTTATACAGTTCAGATTTTGCAGTTTCCTTTTTGCCTTTCTGTCATTATGTTTACCGTGGGAAAACATATTGTTTTTGCTCAGTTTCCTCTTCTTCTTCTCCAAACACTAACCTCTGACCTGGCCAATGGCCTGACTTGTTGACGTCTGTCACCTTGGTAACTGGGGTTAGGTTGCATAATGTTGCAATCTTATAGTAGGAGGGATTTAGACTTCTGTCTGACCATAATGTATGAATGTATTTGAGTAAGAATTAATAGAGCAGACAATGTGCAAAGGTAAACATTATGCATTTGCTTTGCAAGTTTCTAGTTATTAATATAGATTAGATCTAAAAGTTGTAAAAGCTGTAACATCATTATGATAGTTGTTTATTGTTTCAGGCCCTGACAGATTTGCAGACTTGCTGGCCCTGGTGAAGGAACACAAACTGTACAAAAGTGTTCTTCAGCTTTACACCACAGAAAGCAAGGAGTACAAGGTATGTTCACAGGTGGCCTGCTGTGCTTCCATACCTGTGTCTAAAGACAAACCATTAGGCCACACCCTCTTAATATAATGGATGACGTCCTCTGAAGACCCCCAAACTATTGCGCGTGGGCGAATGAAAAAAAATTACGGCCAAAAGTAAAAATGCTACTAAACCACTCACAGGAATACAAAGCTGGTATTGTGAATTTGCGGCATATAAGACAAGCCGGCAAATGCTGGCTTTTTGCGGAATTTATGAATCGGCACTGTACGTATGTACTGAGTTCTTGAGTCGTTGAGCTTCGGTAGCCTTTGTGCCAGAGTCCAGAGTTACCACCGGCTCCCTGTTGTCGCTAGCTACCTTGAACTACCCAGGCCACAGCCTCGGAGGACGTGGTCTTTTTTTTTTTCGCCGAGAATAGGCGAAAATCATCCATAAAATTAAGTCGGTGTGGCCTTACCCGTGGTAAAGGGTTTGGAAGCATTTCGGAATAGTATACCGTGCCCAGTCTAAAGTGGGCCTTAGCTGGTCAGTGAATGAAACTTCAGTTCCTGTTCTCATTCCTCAATAATCCTTGTTTTACAGGACATCTCTGAGGCCTATGGAGAATACCTCCTGAAGAAGGGACATGTGGAGGAGGCTGGTCTGGTGTTAAGCAGATGTGAGGAGTGGGAGAAGGCTCTCCAGGCCTTTGAGCAGTGCTGTAACTGGCGCCAGGCCCTGTGTGTGGCCAGCAGACTACAGTACAGCACACAGCAGACAGCTCAACTGGCACTCAGGATGGCTGGTCAGGGCTTTCTTTATCTTACAGGGTCGGGATGGTCAGCACAGAGAGAAGGGATGGTACATTATAATTCAAGGTGGGGACAGTCTTTCAGCACCAAGGAAAGGGGTGGTACATGATAGTTCAGGGTGGGGATGGTCTTTCAGCACAAAGGGAAGGGGTGGTACATGATATTTCAGGGTGGGAGATGGTCTTTCAGCAGCAATGAAAGGGGTGGTATATGATAGTTCAGGGTGGGGATGGTCATTCAGCACCAAGGAAAGGGATGATACATGATAGTTCAGGGTGGGGATGGTCTTTCAGCATCAAGTAAAGGGATGGTACATGATAGTTCAGAGTCGGGATTGTCTTTCAGCACCAAGGAAAGGGGTGGTACATGATAGTTCAGGGTGGGGATTGTCTTTCAGCACCAAGGAAAGGGATGGTTCATGATAGTTCTGGGTGGGGGATGGTCTTTCAGCACCATGGAAAGGGATGGTTTTTTTTTTTTTTTT